TGTCTATTTGCTTGTGGCTACGCTGTGTACCTTTTATGTTGAAAATTTTCACGAATGAAATTCTAGAATCTATGAATTGGAAATTTCGTTGTTGTTTTGGTCTCCATAGGAATTCCCCTACTTCAGGATGATCCTTGTCACTTCCATTTGTTCCCTTTATACAATTCTAGGATAAGTAATCTCTTTCCAGGTTTCTACACCATTGTCCATATTATTCAGTGAATTAATAGCAACCATGGATCAGTTTAAGTCGTTCAAAAAAGAATTATGGTAAGTTCGAGCTTGAGAAAGAAATCAGATGATTCAGGTAATAGTAGTGAGTTTTAGATAAAGCATTAGTGTATCTTGATACGTCACTTTAAGGAATTAAAGAGATCTGTATTCAGCAATGTCTTGTAAAGGTCGAATTTGAAAGTTAAGAGACTCTGTAATTAGCAAATAGTTTTCATTAATTGGCATTATGGACTCAAGGGATTCTACATCAATTAACAGAGAACGTTCATAACTTCACTTTAAAGAGTTAATGGGTTGTATACTAGAAATTCTTGATGGGATAGCATTACATAATTAAGAAAATGTTTCTTCAGCAGATGGACTTGATGAGATCTAAATATGAAAAAGTAAAGAGACTGCAAGTTTAGAAGAAGCTCTTAATGAGATCCTACCTTGGACTTATATCGTATCTACTTCACTAGAGATCGTAATGAAGTCGAATTAAGGAGTTGCGTATTGAGCAGAAATTCTTTAAATGAGGTATTGTAGAATTAAAGGTTTTACGTAATATAAGTATATACTGTATGGTCTTGCTGGGGCCGAATTAGATAGTTAAGGCGTTGTACGCTCAGCGAAAGTGGTTGTGAGGTTACAATAAAGAGTCAACTATTGTACATTCACCTTTGACACACTGTTGATTCTGAGAAACTGTACTTGGTCATCCGTCATTGTTTTCATCATACTCTGTCATAGGAAATCTCCCATTTTGTGCTCGACACAGTTCCTCAGTGTCAGACATGATGGAAGTATAACACAATACTTTCCAAAATAAACATGATTTATGCTGAGTAACTTTACTTCATAAATTTACCAAATTATTACGACTCGCTAAAAAATCGTTTGTACTAAACCAATAAAACCGTGATAAGTATGGCTCCAAATTCACTTGGGTTTCCAAAAAGCGCCAGTGAGAAATATTTTATAGAATTAATGCCAAAATTGTGTTGAAGTGTGACAGTAAGTGTTTGTTCTTTAGTGTGCACGTGGACTTGACATATTTCTATTAAGATGCAACGAAACTTCTGATTCAAATATGTTATCCAGGTTAAGATAAAATCCATAATTATTTGCTGTTTCACATTTGCACAGAAACCATTCCCATTTTTAGTTTGTTTGTTTGTTTGGAATTAAGCACAAAGCTACACAATGGGCTATCTGTGCTCTGCCCACCACGGGTATCGAAACCCGGTTTTAGCGTTGTAAGTCCGCAGACATACCGCTGTGCCACTGGGGGCAACATTTTTAGTAATCAATTTTCCAGTCAATTTATGATCTGTCACGATTCAAACCAACAACAGCACTTGGCCAACTGATGATGTAGTATTCCGGCTTTACTAAATAATCAATGAACAGATAATCTATAAAAACAGGAGATCTGAAAAAAAAGTGTAAACTTAACTGTAGTGATATTAAATAAGGAGGAAATCCATAGATACTTTCACAGAAAACTAAAATAGTTTTATTTTCCTTTAGAAGCATAAAGAAAACATAACCGGAAATTAAAACACTGAGGAATACTTTAGATGACAAAAAATTAAGAATATACAGAATTTAAATAAGATAACATGTTAAACTGAGATGTAAGTCGACACGGTCGTAAAAGTGCATAGAGTGCTTTGTAAGTCAACTTCACTGTTCAAAAACTAGGCTGCTGCTGGTACTTTCACAAGACAAACTCAAAACCGTTTGAGTTAAATGACTAATCGTATGTTGGTAAACATGGTTTGTAACAGATCTATTTCTGAATTTATTTGTGCGGTCAGTAACTCCGCAAGACCAGCTCATATACTCACCAAAACCAACAGAAAATGCTCAGATTGGTATCTACCAAAGAGGTGACAGACCTAAAAGCCATGCTTACGTAAGATTAACTATAAGTTTATTGGCTCTACACTGCAGAAACCTTAGTAAAAGTACCGAATATGCTCATTTAAGCTTAAGTGATTGAAATAATTGGTAATTTACATTTTCTTGTCAATTTGAACTAAACTAGTTAACATACATATCTAACCGTTATTAAATCTTGGTTGTAATTCATGTATCTTAATGAAAAATATAATCAATATACACATTACAATTGACTCAATTTTTGACATTTGCTTGGTTGGTTTGTTAGTTGTTAAGCACAAAGCTAAGCAATGGACCATCTGTGCTTTTCTCACCACGAGTGTCGAAGCACGGTTTTTAGCGTTATGGTTCTATCACTAAGCCACTGGGGTCTTGAAATTTGCATAATTTGGTTATTTACAACATTAAATGATATCTGAGCTCAGATTCAAGTTGGTTGAATTAAACTCTAGATAGCATCTGATTATTTATATTACTATATAAATGTTCGTATCATTTTTCGCTTTAAAGAAAAACACTTCAGTAATAAGTGGTCTGCAGAACATTTCACTTATTTAAGAAGAATGAGTATTATCGTAGTGATGCGGTACATCCATGATTTAGAAATCTTGCTCGGTTAGATGACGATATGTTTTCATATGAAGTATATGTCTTAAAGAAAGAAGTGCATGTTTGAATAAGTCAGATTTACTTCACTTGTTAGATCACCAAACTATAGTTCTTTGCAATAAAGACATATAAGGTTTTTGTAGTTCAATGAATTAGATTTATTTTGCTCAGTAAAATTACTAAAACTATTTTATCCCAGACATCCTCCTTGGTATAAAAATACCGGCTCTATAGTTTTGTGACTTAGCCTTACTAAGTTTGCCGTAGATACAAACATTATCTGCCATTGTTGTTATTTTTAATTATTTGCTAGAGGGCAAACAGTCAGTCAGCAGCACCCTACCATCCACGCTAATGGATTGACCGTCACTCTTATAACGTGCCCACTTATGAAAGTGCGAGGGATATTTTGTGGTATCAAGGATTCGATCCCAATTCCCCAGCTTCAAAATCCACAACTCTATCACATGGTCAACTCACGCCCCTCAAAAACTTAGAAGTTACATGTTTTGTTGAGGTCACTAAGACCACGTTATTCCAAAGAGGTTCATAATTTCAGAAGTTCAGGTTAAATGATTTAGTTAGACCACCAAGGCTTATCATCACAAAGACATTCCTCTCCATGAAAATAGATTTGATAGTTCAATGTTTTATATGTGTTGTGTGTGTGGTTAAGTCAGTAATGCCACTCTATCCTAAAGATATGTCTTTTTGGAGTCCCGTCATTTAATCACTTATATGTGTAATAGTTGGTAAGGCCACTAAAACAATTGTACACCAAGGGTGCACATTCTTGTAACAATAGAGGTCCATAATTTATAGATTTAGATTTATCGTGTTTGAATCAGAATAATACGTTAAAGGCTTTTGCTACTGACTTTTATGTTTGTAGCATTAAAAAAAAACACACACAAAAACGCTGCACTTTGCTTACCACGGCGGGGGTATGAATTGTTCCAGGTCTCTTCTGGGTGGTCCAGGTAGATCCATATTATTTTGTTTTCCAATACTATTAAGCATAAGAGATATCATCTTCTTGGAAATCCTAAATCACCGATCTGAACACATGTATAATCTGAATGTATGGATATTTTGCGTCGGAAAGTGTTGCTACATACACTTCCTCATTGCACTAGAGTTTTGGTGGCGTCAAAACAATGTTAAAAAGTTGTTCTGATACATGCCATTCCGCTGCCACTTTATATCGGCTGTGGTTGTCAGGTGACCAGCTGATTTGCATATTCAAAATATAACGTGATCAGTTATATATTGAAAATTTTATGTCCTTCTCATGAAATAACCAGTTGTAAAATAAAATGCATTTTTTCTATTGCCTTTTCTTTGAACTCTATTTCACATTAAGTCACTCAGGTATTTTGTTTCATAGATTTTTTTAAATACATTTCTTATCTAAAAATAATAAAGTTCATGATTTCAGGCTTGAGCTTTTTTGTGTTTGGTTAATCCACTTGAATAGTGTGTAAATACATACTGTTGTGATGCGTGTTGTGTATGACAGATGACACTTCACTATCCTAGTTAAATTAATATGTTTGTTTTGTGTAAAGCTACATAAGAGTCTATCTGCGCTCTGTCTACTCCAGGGAATATAAGTTATAAGTTCGTAAATTTACCGCTAACCCACTGGGGGATAACTTTAAAAATTGATTTTCTGTGAGATCTGAGGTCGCTTAGAAATATGTCATGAAAACATAGAAGCTCACATTGGATGACAACACATTTAACAAACGAATAGGAAACATAGTTTTGAGCAATATTACCTTTCGTTTGCCAATGATAAGGATTGTTAGATAATGGACCAAGCTAGGTCGATGACAAGGATTGTTTTATAATGGAAATTAATATCTATTTGGAGAAAACACATTAGTTTGAATACACTGACTTCTATTGAAGATCGTGTGGAAAAGAAATGTAACAGGAAAAGAAGATATAGATGAAAAAACAAAAAAAAAAACATTTATCTAACCTGGTAAGAATAGAAACAACAAAAGTCATATCTCACATACATTTTGTTGACACAATTTCTCTCTAAATAAGACGTGAATGGAATGCAGAAAAAATCAACAAAGACAGTATATCATGTTGCCAGAGAAAAAAATATATATTTATTTATCACTTGAAAATACAGTAGTAGCTTTGAGATTTGTATTCCGGGGATGGCAATAGTACATAATCGATGTGAAACTATGGAAGAATTGTAATAACTGTGGAATGTACTATGTACATATCAATTCTAAGCTTTGAACAACATCAGCTAATTAATATGGCATCGTATTTTTTTAAGTTTTGTATTGATTGAAAGTTCTTTCAACAGGTTTCTCTTTTTTAGGATTGTTAGAGGTTTTATAAAGAGGGCAAAAGTTTTAACTTAAGGGCCTATCAATACAATACGTAGTATGTTCTTAAAAGTAACAATTCTCACATACCAGTAGTGTGGAGAGAACAATGACTTGGATTTTGATTAATTACTCTACAGCCAATAAACACGTCCACAAACAAAGATGAACAATTCGACGCGACAATACCGATAGGATTCTCATCTAGACATGCCTTAACAGCACAGAAATATCTATTTACTAAACTTTTAAGTAGTTTATAATAATAAATAAATTATCACTGCTTAATTCTGTTGACTTAAATTCCAGTAACTTAACAAAGTTTTGTTATCTGAATTAACGAAGCAATTTTGCAAATTTGTGGTTACTTTTGTTATTAGTTTATAAAATTCTGGATCTCAAAAGAAGATGTGGAGGCGATACATATATGCAAATAACAATTATCAAAATACACATTAAACATCAAAATAAATACCTATTGGAAATCATTCTTTATTAGAAACAAAAAAAAACGAAACTTTGAAGTTTACTATTTTTTTTACTTTGTATTTTCTTATGAATCTAAAAGTGTAAGTACGCAGTACCAGGTTTCTCTCAACAGAAATGTATGTTTTAAACTGATTTAAGCTGTAGAAATTGTAAATAAAAGCTCACAATTACTCAAAATGTTGACAATTTTGTATGTTGTAACAGATCAAGCTATTTGTACAATATCTTTAATTGATGAATATGATATATTTCAAACAACATAGAACAAAGTACTTGAACTATGTCTACATCTCTTTCATTGTGCACGTTCCTCGCCATCACTCTCTTCGTGCCCAAAATTATCGATTGTCGTCTACAGAACTTTTGAGTATATCCACGTACACGGAACTCCTGACTCATCCAAAAAACACACAATTCCTAGTTCATCCTATAATCATAAAACCCGGTGCATCTACTTGTACATAAGTAATCTTTTTCCCGCACCCATGGAAGTCCTAACTCCTCTCACAAAAACAAACTCCCAGCGTAATCTTTAAATATAGAATCTTCAGTCCATCTCACAACACAATAATCCTGACTCATTTTACAACACAAAACTCTAGCTTATCCACCAACACAGAACTCGACTTGTTATATATATAGAAGTCCCATAACTCACAACCTACTTACACAAAACTTCTGAATTACAGAAGTATCCAGATCCATTGACTCATTCTACATGTGTAGAACATTTCTTCCTTCTTATATACAGGAAATATCTTATTTCTTTCATTAACAAAGCTGCTAACCCTTTTTCTACGTACCCCATTTTCATTATGTACTGACCTCTTCAATCTTCCCATATTTATGTGTTTAATGATCTAAAGTACATTATTGGTCATCATCTTACGTACATACTATTATTATCGTTCATAATGAACCATTGATTTATTCCACCTACACAGAGCCCCTAATGTCTTTCTATAACTAAGCGCGTAGTAACGATTTCTAACCACAAACCACGATTATTCGCATTTACACACAACCTTTGGTTTCTCTTAGCATGCACAGAACCCCTATGTACCGGGTGTTCTTATTTTTTAACACAACAAAATCGTGGACTTCTCTCCTTCTGTTAAAAAGTCTTTGATATTTTTAACTTCTCCACAACCCTTTACTTGTATAATAAGTTGATGTCTCTTAAATAATATTATATTATGCAAATAATTCGAAGAAAATGTGTGAAAACGATTTTCGTATTTTATAGTATCACCCAGCAACGTTCTTTTTGTGTCCTATTTGTTCTTGTCAAACAAGAAAATAAATTGTAAATTTAAAGAATCAAATTTATAACACATAAGACATTGTTTTCTCAACAATACTGGTTTTCTCCTAAATGTGGGTTGATAATAAATAGTAATAATATTTTTACAGTAAGACATAATACTATTTCAACTAATAATTTAAGTAGAAAGAACCAATCAATTGGCATAGAAGAGGCAAAATATATTTAGTCATCTGAAATGTCAGATGATAACAATTTTTATAACTTAATTATACAACAATATTTCGGTAATATGGTTTAACATTAGTATTGTCATTAAGCTCTATTTCCACGTACTTTAGAATGGTTATCTTTTTCGACATTATTAATTAACGTGAACACATAAAGATATGTTTAGTTAGCAGTCTTAACTAATGAAATTGACAACAATATGTATATTGCTGTATATTGTTATCAAACCCACGAGTTTCAAAGTTCTCTTACCTTTAAAAACGACGGTGGCTCTACCTAACGGCCATGTGGCATTCAACCAGACCATATATATCGCTTCCGTTGAACTTTTAAAAAACCTGGAGAGGTTTTGGATTGGTATCTGGCACTTGGCATGCGTGCTTAATTAGTATTTAAATGAAAGCGGGGAATCTGATTATAAAAAGTTTACTAAAGTTTAATCCTCTCCTGATAATACACACACACACATATTCATAACACTTTTGAAAAATCACCATTCGGCTGTGAGGAGAAAAAATAACAACACATTAAAGATCCTTTTCTATTCTGGGTGAGCACTATTAAATGAAAACAGAAGTTTTAAGTATGTTCTATCTTTATGTTGGAACGTTATTAGGAAAGGATGAGTTTATACATTTTTTATACAGTGCTTATAATTTCGGGAGGTATAGGACAACGAAATGAATATCTACGATTAACATTAAACCTTCAACTGTCATTAACGTTACATTGTAATATCTCAAGATTTAGCAGTGATATTCAGTCTTACTGAGAAAAATAAAAACAGAGTCGGAAGTTCGCGTAACAACAGTAAGAGTGGACTTCAATGTCCAAACACAGACCGTCGTCATGGTAACAGCTGCTTAACGTGAAGGCTGTTTTGTTACTAAGAAACACACAATTATACATTGATATTACATTTTATATTTATATATTTCACACAATGGCCAAGCAATACGGTTATCTACCACAACTGTGACTGACATAATAATTAGAGGCGAGAATAAACCGGCTTTGTCATAGCTAGCCTATTCTGTATATTTAATATATTTATACACACACACACACACACATATACATATATTTCCGTATAATTGATTGTAATATGATGAAACTTTTTAAATTACCTTTTATCTTGTTGGAGTTTACAACATTATTGATTGTAAATATGGATGTGTTTAAAGTTAAGCATCATAAATTCCTCCACAGACAATATGCCACAATAACAGATACATCCGACAACAAAGTATAGTTTTTCCTGAAACAAGTAAATATCATTAATACTAACACGGTTGGTAGCACCCAGGGGCAAAACTAATAAAATTCTTGCTCTTAAACATTAATGTATCTAGTGTCCAGTTAATAACGTGCTAACGAACAGTCACTAAGCGAGCGATAAATAGTCAACATAATCAGGAGAAAACACCCCTAAAAATTTTCAACAACTCATCACATATAGGCATTCTTTATGAGCCAGATTTTGCGAAACAAACAGTGCATTTATGAATGACTCCCTTTATATATATATATATTAACAAAGCGAGTAACTGAATCGAGCGGTATATGTTATCTTTCTTTAATATTCAATTTAAGAAAATGACATATAAGGTTCTCCTACAGAAACTAAAATAACAAGACGCACACGACTGTATAGCGTTTTTAAAGACTCTCAGGATGATTGTTGTTTTGTTTTTCGAAAGTTCCTCTATTGGTGGAGGGTTCATCTTGAAAGGAGCAAAAAAATAGTTTATAGTCAGACTGAGATAAGCGAAATTTTTAAACAAGATGGAAGAAGGATTTGACAACAACAAAAATTAGAAATTAGTAGTGGGAAGAAGTTATAGAAGAATCTTTTATAACAGTTAATTATTTTAATATTTCAATATTTTGAAGAAAAAAAACACAAAACAATAACGACAACTTTTAAAAGCTTAGTTAATAAACATAAAACAAAAGGTAAAACTAAGAAGGGAGGGCTCGGATATAAGCAGTGTTGTGGAAACACCCTCACGAATGGACTCTGGCCTTAGCTTCCAGATTAAAGTTGTTCTTCAAAAGCGCCCTCTTGCCCATCTTAATAAAGCGTCAGCCAACACATCTAGATGAGCTTTCGTCTGAAAGAAAAACAAAATTGTCGAAGCATTACGATTTAAAAGATATAAATAACTTATTGAACTTCTTTGAAATTGTATTTTGCAGTTTTTTAGTCTAAAGCACATTAGAATTTATGCTGTTCTCCAACTGAATGGGTTAACTAAATAAATTACCAGCAAGGTGTCTCAAAATTACGATAAAAGGCTTAATACATTATCAATCCACAAATTAAAACTTTTAACAGTTTCGCTAGAATGTCTTCTAAAAAAATAACAAAGCTTATTGAGTTAACAATAGAATGAAAAAATTAATATAAATGTTTGAATAAATAAGAACTCATAAACAAACTGTTAATCCTCAGCAGCTTATTGCTTCTTATAGCCATATAAGATACGAATTATTTCAAATCCTTTGTGATGTCAGTATCTCTTTTTTTTCGGTTCCTAAACTGGATTATTTGGAAACCCTTCTCGAACACTGAGTATATATGGAAACAGCACGTTTGAGGCGTGTCTATGGTTTGATATAGGTTTCTATGTACGTTGTTCTAATATTTGTTTAACTATTTTCGTTCCGAAGGAAAGAATAAGTTAAGCTACTCAAATTGAAATAAACTGCCTTCTTAGATTCTCATCTGCATATTTAAAGTTGTCATTGTAGCTTTAGATTCATGAAATCATTCCAACTGATAACGTTATTTCATTACTTTATTATATGTATTCAATCTCGACACGTTTCAAATTTGATCTCTTTAAATATCTGGTGTTACATTTTTTTTTTTACATATTTCATCTTTCTAAAAGCCTGATGCTGTAAATCATGTTTTATACCTCAAGTTCCTAATCCCTGATGCTTTTAAATAAGTTTTTTTTCTAAACCCCTAGTGTTCATGAGCAAACATAGTCGGAGACTTGTGAAGAAGTACGAACATATCGATGGCAAATATTTTCATATCATTCGCTGAATCGTCTTATCCAACTGAAATAAACCTTTACATCCAAATCATGTTAGCAATTTTTAATCGTATAAGTTTCATTTTCTCTTCTTGAACATTTTAAACCTTTCATTTTGATTTTTTATATTTATCGATAATTTAGATGTAAAGAAGAAAGAGGCAACAGATTTTCATATTGAAGTCTACAATTCATAAGACACAAATTAAGTTGAAAAGAAATTAAAACATTTCATTTCATAATGCACTGTGTTTTATTATTTACTTCTAATCCTTAAACATGTCAGTAATAAATAGCTCATTTGAATAATTGTCTGGATGTCATAATGAGTGTTTGTTTTTTTATTTTCGCACAAATACATATGAGGATTATCTGCGATAGTCGACTCAAATTTGAATGACAGACTAGAAGAAGGCAGCTAGTCAACAATACCTACTGCTAATTTTTGGGCTACTCTTGTCAGACCAAATAGTGGAACGTGACTGTCGCTCTTATAATGCACCTACGGCTTCAAAGTGCGGGGCGCGAGCTTTATTTAACCACATGTATCGCGCTCGGTCCCATAAAGAGTGAAACCAGCTAACAAAGTTTAAGTTTGGTAGTCATAAAATGATTAGTAAAGACATGCAAAGGCTCGTCCAAAACCAATAACTTGTAGAATTAAACAGTGAAGATTAATTCAGAAAAAATAACAGATTGAATTACTGAACAACAAATTATAGTTCATTTTTCAAAAAATAGAGTTTAGTATCACTTGACATAAAAGCACATTTTGGTTCGTTCTTCAAAATCACAATTTATGTCATTTAATAAAGAAGTCTGATTCACACTCCACAAAAAGCACTTTGTGTTATTGAATAACAAAGCTTAAAGCTTGGTTCACATTTAAAAACACCAACTCGTATTATTGAATAGCAAATTCTGGTTCTTATTTCAGAAATATTAATTTTGCCACTAAGTAGCAAATCCTAATTCAAACTTTAAAAGCCCTAATTCACAGTACTAAATAGCCAAATTTAACCGTACCTGAGATACACTAATTTGCATCATTAAAATAGCAAAATCAAAACTACACTTCAAAAAGGGCTAATTCATACCAATAAGCAACATAAACTTCACTCTTCACATATAATGTGTAACAAATTTTTGTCAATAAGAAGAAAAGTCTAAGTCACTAGCTCGTACAAGTGAAAATTCGAAATCATTACTTTGTCTTTTATGTAAAATTCGTGAAAATTTGATTTAATGTGTTGACCTCCCATGATGTATCAACAAAAAGACTTGCTATTTATATGTACTTGCTGAAGGTGGTCTTGAGATCTCGTGTCTTGAAAGAAGAGGCTGAAACTTATCTAAGAGAAAAGGTTAGTGAGAGAGATGCAAGACAGTAGAAATAGAATTATTCATGAATCCTCTTAAAATCTCCCGTGAACTTTCTAGCTATCCCTTGTACTTATCATTGCGTCTCCTATAAAGGTTATTAGATGAATAAAATATACGTTTGTTCTCTTATGACAAAGGTAAAAAACAGAAAATTGCATGTTGTAGATAGATGAAACATTAAATAAATCATTATAAAATTCCGTTTCTATTCGAATCGGATGATAAAACATAAGCTCCCAGTGACTGAATTCAGGTTTAATCTAAATAATTTTGCAAACATGTAGGCGGTTCGACAAGATTATGATCTCTTATAGATTTTGTGTCCACACAAGTACAATGAATGTATATACTAGCCCATGTTTTATAGTGTTCTCTGTTAAGCATACTGAACCCGTGTTTAACACGTATAAATAAAAATCGAATTCTTTCAAACCTCACAATATTAGTCCAATTAGAACGCTTAAGATATATAGCAAAGCTGTTTTATACTAAATGTGAATTTGTCGGGGCTATCATCAAACGTGTTTCACATTTTTTTAAATAATAGTGAAAGTGAGTAAATGCGAGACAATCTGAAAGATGTAGTAAATATCCATGAACTAAAAGTTACACTTTCTACTACTCGAACACGTGTCAGCTCATATTATCTAAAAAAAAGACAAAAACGTATAGTTACAAACTGCTGATAGAGGATATCACTCGAGAAATATGCAGTATTGAAAATAACTATAGAAAGTACGAGATAAAAAAGGATACAAGAGGCAAATATTACGAGAATGACACACCTTTATTGTGTGAAGATTAAATGCAGCAGAGTACAGTCAAATGTCTATAGTTTACACTGCGATTGGTTGTCATCTAACCAATGAAAAAGTTCCCCACCAGTGTAAAACTTTTAAAAGTACAGGATCTCAAATTATTCACACTAAGCGTGGCAATAAGCTACCAGGACTAAAGTACCCCATGACAAGAGTGTTGAAATCAAAGTTTTGGATGGTCAAGAATACTCCAAGCACAAAATTGCAGCAGGACTTCATGTTTTTCTAAGAACTTTGTGCAGGACACTGAAAAGGGTTACATGACTCTGGCATTGTTAATAACAGAAGTGATCGAGGCAGAAAAACACAACTCTGCAAAAGTAGATTTAAGTATCTCAAAGTATTCTCTTCGCGAGACAGACGACGGTTGATTATAGATCTTGCTAACTATCTTCCTATAAATATACGTTTCAATATTATCTCGAAAACAGAAGTGGTCTTAATGGGTGCGTGGCTATCGAAAATCTCTGCTGAGAGGATATAAGCAAACTAAATGGTTAAAATGAGCATTAGACAACAAACAGTGAAATGAACAAAGCTCTTTACGGATTAATTCAAGTTCGAGGAGAACGGTATCATAGTCAAAGTATAATATCTACAGTTAAACATAGCTGGACATCAGTATATGTTTAGAACTGCATCCCAGACAACATTGACAGTGGTCTAAACAAAACTGATGGCACTCTGACTGCTGACTGGTATAAGCATTTCTGATCCATGAATACTTGGAAAAAATATAAACGATCTTACATTAATAAACTGTATGGCAACATGAAAACAAGGCAAGATTCTTTGTGTAAGCGAAAGGCTCATTTATGTACAAATTACTAGTGTATTTTATAACTTACTCACTTATATTATATATTTTCGGTGAATCAGGTAATGGCTTCTATCATTAATAAATTTCTCATTCACCACCTAATTTCCATTACTCGTTTTTTATGTCTCCTGTATTACCTAGATAAAACTTTAACAGTGTGTTTTACAGTGATTTTATTTTATTGCATTAATCTCCTAACGTCGTGTGGTTTCCATTTTTTCTTAAACTTAATCATTACTACCATAGTAACAAACTTTGTAATGTTTAAACACTTCACGTAAAATTATGATACAGGTTTTGCAGCAACATCCCAACAATATCTTCTGTATTGCTTTAAACCTTTTCTCTTCTACTCTGACTAAGACGAGATAATGTAGCTACATCAGCTTTATTCCAACTTGTCTGAAAAGAAATCTCACAACTTTCGAATTTCCTTTTAAACTGCACCAAGACCTCAAAACCAACTATATTTTACATGTATCCAATACAATTTAAACTCAACAAGTGTTCTAGAAGTCTGATGTGTTTAAGATTTCAAAAACAATATTCATTTTTTTCTATCGCGTAAGGATTTTTTACAAATCGAGAAGAAAAAACTGTTACTTGGATCAAATTATTATTGCATTTACCACATTGATGTTATTTTAGAAACTTTACCAAAGGATCCATATGCTACGCAATAATGTTATCATTGCTGCAGAACTTTCACCCAGCTTTAGATTATATCTGCAACCTTTGAATCAGTAGTCTTTTTTTTTCTTTGTGACAACAAAATAAAAACATCATTCCAAAATAAACCTACACAGAGTCATTCACTTTAAAAATAAGATTCCTTTCATCCAAATAAGACACTGAAAGGAAAACCTATAGGTAAGTTTCTAAAACTTAGATGACTTTGCTCCAACGACACCACTTAGAAAACAGCTTTTAATGAAATGTCTGAATTATCTAGAAAGTGGCCGTCCTCAAATGCCTTGTACAAAGCCAAGTCAGATGTATTTAATACTTCTCATAAGGGCATTCTAGATATCGAGCCTAAAACAGCA